ATGCCTCTGCAGGGTTATTCTTTCCAGACAGCAAAGGTGATGCAACGGTAGAGAAAGGAAATGGGAATTTTTCAGTGAACTGCAGGAAATCTTCTGAGCAGCTGCTATTCACCTGTCAGCAAGGAAGGAATTAAAGAACAAAGAGCTGAGCTCCCAACAAAAGTACTGAAATCATCAATCTACCAGAGGGAAAAAAGGGATTCCCATTGAAGTGACAACATTTTTCAACACTGAGGCTAAAGAGCAGGCACTATTGTGAGACAGCTGAACAGGGTCTGTCGAAATGCTGTATGTGGATATTCTGTCAAGTGAAGTTCAGTGGAAGCAAATGCAAGTTAACATGTTGTTGCTTCACGCAAATGGATTTCCAGCGAGCTGTAATCCCATGGGGAAAAAGATCTTCAGACTTTCACACAGCTCTATCAATCCGAGCCCGGGAAGGACTGGCTAGGTGAGTTAACCCTCTGCTGCCATGGAAATGGCTTCTGTATTTTCTAGTGAGCCAGCCGGAATCATTATTTCTAGTGGGACGTTATGTTCTTGCCCTTTCGAGAATCTAGGGCCCGATTTGCAATTGCTGGCATGCTTGTCCCATCCTTTCACAGACTTGTTGTACTCTAGGATTTCATATCGTAGTTGTCTGCACTGTTCCTGTTGGTCTGGAACCCCCTCCAAGTCAGCCACGCTTCAAAATATTTCTTTACTTAACTGAACTCTCCTGATCAATGATTTGCTGTAGTTGCCCCTCTTGGGCTCAATCCGATGCCACCTTTCTGATACAGATCTGCCTGGAACAAAGATATCGTCACGGGATAGTTCACAGGACTCTCCCACTGGAGAAGCCCTTCATTCAGCACTTAAAATGCTCTACACCTTTAGTGGCTGCCCTGTCCTCTGTTCGTGGGGTAAGTGTGGGACTTCTACTGGCATAACATTTATTACAGGCGAGTTTTGTCAGTTCTGACAGGTTCATCCCTGAGTTGTCCTGCTCTCGTACAACTGGTGCTTAGTGCCTCAAATCTCAGCGCTTCTCTGCTGCCCTATCTCGTTGTAAAGTCCAGCCTAGCTTGCTGTCTCCTGTATTCATCAAGCCTCTTTGAAAATACTGCTGTAAAAAGTCTCTTCCATCAAAAGCATTTTGTGCCTCCCCAGATGGCTTAATTTGTTTGTCCTGGCTGACTCACAGCACTGTCCTGTACCTGGAGCCCTTAATTCATAGTACTCAGTGATCGGCCAAAGAACACCCGTATGTAGCTGTAACGCTTGGTCCTGCACTCACAGACACCGATGCTACGGGTCTTTGTTTCGTATTCACCATCCTCCCATGCAGTCTCCTGTTCCCTACGCTAATAACGATCATAGAATCTTTGGGTTGAAAGGGACCTTCAAAGGCCATCTAGTCCAACCCCTGCCTTGAGCAGGGCCACCTTCAACCAGAGCAGGTTGCCCAGAGCCCCGTCCAGGCTGACCTGGGATGTTTCCAGGGATGGGGCATCGACCACCTCCCTGGGCAACCTGGGCCAGGGTTTCACCACACTCATCATGAAAAATTTCTTCCTTCTCTCTAGTATAAATCTGCCCTCTTTTAGTTTAAAACCATTACCCCTCGTCCTATCGTTCTGTGATGAGACATCATAGATTCCTATGATTTTAGGAGAGAAAGTAGCATGTTGACTTAAACATCCCTAAACCCTGATTTAAAAAACAAAACAACCCCCACAACCTTCCTGGGATAAAAGTTAGCCTAACTAGTGTCATGGCTGCCATTCCCTCATGCACAAAGGTCCTGCCATAAACAACAGATCAGTTCTCCAGGCTGTGCTGCAGCAATCCTCCTCACACTGCGGCAAGTTCAAGATTGCATTTTACCTACAGTTGCACCAGCAGGAGCTTGTCTAAGCTGACTTACGATTTTCCTAACAGCTGGGTACATACCTCCTAATGAACTTAGATTTTCAAGTGGTGTATCTTAGATGCTGAAAGTGTTTTCTTACAAACAGGTAAAAGTTGTTTGCTAACTAGCTTCAGGAAATAATCTGTTTTGTGAATTGTGTACTTAGTATTTCAAATGGTGTTAGACTGGATGACAAAAAACACTTGCAGGTGATAAGCTCCATTGTGGAATGGGACCGTCAAATCCACTTTCCAGTGCAAATACCTGGTATTAGCTCCAGCGCGCCGCCTCTGAACACGCTCCCTTTGCTGGATTAAACTTTCCTTTAATTGACATGTTATTGCAGTTCTGCTTGCTAGAATAGCTGTGGAAAGCAAATCACGCGTGCAAATAATAGCAAAATGAATTCCATTTATTCTTTGACAGACTACTGGTAGGAAAAAGATGCCTGGCTCTAAGTTTAGCTACCACTGCTAGAGGAATTCCAGTGATGACATCTGTTCAGAGTACAACGCAGGCAAAAAGCAAGAAAGCTGAATGTTCTGAAATGGAAGGTGTACGATGGCATTGCATAAATCTGATAATCCTCACTTGCAGTAAATGATCAGTTCTGACCATTTATTTCTCAAAAAAAAAAAATCCTCTCAACTGAAGACAAGGATAAGGCTTGCATATAATTGCTAACAGTGTGAAACTCTTTAATTTGGGAAGAGAAAAGCAATAGAGGACAGGCCTGAGGTATTCAGTGACGGTAAACAGAAGACTAGCTGAAATGCCCTATTTACCTTTTCTATGTTAAAGAACAAGAAGGCACTCGTCGAGCTTCGAAAGGCAACATTTTACAGTGGAGAAAAGGAAGTACTGCATTAACTTGGGGAGATCATTGCCACAGGATATTGCTGAGGTAAATAAATCTTATATTACATTTTGATACAAAAGTATTATTTGCAGCATTGCTGGCTAACCTAAAACAACTGATCTATGTTTTGGAGAATCAATGGATCACTAAACAGTCATTCTGGGAAGAATTACTAAGCTAAATTAAAAATAAAATTCTTGAGTAAAATGGAAGGGGGACAAGCCTATGAACAAATGAGGCACGGCTGATGTCACGCTGTGGAATCGATGGCTCAGCAGAAAGTAATATGTGCTGACTGAAATGGATGTACTCTGGGGAGGTGAGGGAGGACAGCATCTGGCTTCACCGAAGGAGCTGAGATAACAGAGTAGAGGTAGATTTTGCATTTTCTGGATTTATGGAGAACAATATTGACAGATTTCCTGGTTTACATTGGCCTACAATGGCTCCTCCATGCTGAGGTATGAAGATCTGTGTTGTTCAAAAAACGTGTGGATGTGGCGCTTCAGGACATGGTTTAAGGGACATGGTGGCACTGGATTAATGATTGGACTTGATGATCTTGAAGGTCCTTTCCAACCTTAGTGATTCTGTGATTCTATATTCATAAACAGGCACTAACGCACAGTGAGATCAACCTCCATTTGTTACCATCTGCAGTACAAGCGCCCAGGAAGATAAGAGCAGGAGGTGATACAGATGGTAAATGACATCAGCAGCTGGCTGCCACTTACCAGTGTAACCCTTCTGTCCTCAGCAGCTAGACAGTCCATGGAAGAATTTAAAAGGTGGGGCAGGGAGCAAGGGAAGCAGGACTTTAGCTTCAGCAGGCAAGGCTCGAGGAGAGAACAAAAAGGCCAGTGGAACCAAATCCTAAGTGAAAGGGTGACTGCAGGCCCAAACCCTCAGTGTTTGTTAGAACTATTAGTGTTGGGGAAAACGCTTCAATTATACTGACAGAGTGTAAATGAAGCTGGGACCAATTTTTCCTCCTGATTTCTGGAGGTTATCACCCTAGGATAGGGGTAAAAATACATCTCTTGAGTCTGCTTCATGGATAAGCCAAAAGGGTACTGACCTCACTGAACTGATGTGGTATAAAAAAACCCCAGAAACTCATACTCTGTTCCTCATCTCGAGGGAACTGATGGAGCAGGGGCCTGCAGCCTGTTCTCAACCATGCCTGGTACAACAGTACTCAGTGCTGCTGGCCCTGAGCTCCTAACCTAGCTTTTTCACATGCTTTGGTTTCCAGAATAGATGCATGATCTGTTTGCCTGTGGGAGATACTTAAAAGGTCTCTATCCATACACCAGAAAAACAAGCTAAGCTGTGAGAGCTGCTCCATCCCCTTGACACGCGGCTAGCCAGAGAGAAAACGCGAGAAGCTGCTGCCTACAGCGGCAGAGGCTGAAGTGGTCCAAAAAGCAGTGTATTTCCCCATGGGGGAAGAACATGGTAAGTGAAGAGAAATCAGTGCAACCTGACTTCGTTGTGTAAACAGTGTTCTAGCTACACCAGATATAAAACCAGTGTATTCTGGTGCCTCCTACTTTTGTAATGGTGGAAACAGATCTGTGTTGTGTAAACAATGTTCACTGTAATGAGTTTAACCTAAGGGCTCCGAAAAGAAAGAATGAGGTGATGTCTCTGAATTCACTATGTAAACGGTCTTGTTTCTTAACACTGATGTGGAGTAAGCTGTATTCGGTGGAGTAAGCTGTGTTAGATGATGGGATGAGAGGTAGTGGGGAAGGACAGCCTCTTCCCCGTTGGCTTCATACAGAGCGGGCATCCTGACTTCTCCTCCTTCTCCATGTGGAGGCGTTGGCTGTTCTGCCAGAACTGCAGTGTGATAACATGAAATGGAAGCTGGACTCTTCAAAAGTTTAGCCCAAGACGAAAGAGTCTCAACTCCTTCTCAGGGACAGTCCCTTCCCAAAGAGGAACATAGCTCCAGGATCTCAGGGAAGGTCAGTGCTAAGCGTGGCTCCTGATTCACAGATTAAAAATTAGATAAAATATATCCAGTCTATTAGCTGAAATCTTTTCACTGTACAGGACTGGGACTTGCATGGGGACCTCTGCTGTTCCAGTCTACAAGTGCTCCCTTCAGAGATCAGAAACCTCCTGTCTGAAACAGCTTTGCAAAGCTTTCACACCCCAAAGGGAAGTAAGAGTTGTGCGTTTTTAAGGCTCTCCACAAAAGGGTGACTGAAAGATCTGTTCTCCAGTGCTATTTTCAGCTTATTGGAATGCCTGGTGGAAACGTGGCAGCGTGGTTGTGCTCAAGCTGGAGGTGAAGACAGGGGGCAATGAATGAAGGGGCCCAAAGTTCAGCGAGGCCCCAGCTCCAGGAGATTCTTGAGGTTGATGTTGCAAAGTGGTAAGCAGTGGCTGTGTCTCCCCCTGTGAGTAGCCCATGACCAATCCCCCTGATGATACAGGTGGATTGCAAGGAGGAAGATTTAGGGGGAGGAAGCCAAGAAGATGAGAAAAGTCCATGTTAGCAGCACAGAGAGCCTCTGAAAGGTTAGCAGGGCTCTTGGAAAGCAGAGCCTCATCCAGGGCGGGTGGCTGAGGCGAAGAGGACTGAGGCTCACCAGATGAGAGAGACAGGCTGCCAGGGAAGTCTGACAAAAAGCTGTCCACCTCTACTTTGGGTAGTTTCTCAGGCAAATATGAGGTAGATCCAAGCTGATACTTTGGAGGAGGTTGCGGTGGGGAGGAGATGGGAGAAGAAGACTCCAGAGGATAGCTCATTCCCATTGGAAGAGAATTAGGAACCAAAGAATGGGGCATCCCTGAGCTTGGCATGGTTTGGAGATGTGTGCTGTACATGCCCACAGGCAACATGCCAGGGAAGCTCTTACCACCTATCATGTCTCTGGATGCCATACACAGGACGGGACTCAGCTCTTCTTTCACTGCGACAGATGAGCTGCAGCTTAGGAGACCCAGCATGTCAACTGGCTCTGTCTTAATCTTCAGCAGTTCCTGGGAGTGGCTTTTCTTCATGTGCCTGGTCAGATGATCTTTCCGCCCAAACCGCTGAGCACAGTACTGGCACAAGAAGTCCTTCCGTCCCGTGTGCACTACTAAGTGTCTCCGCACATCTTTCCGGGTGTAGAAGCGCCTATCACAGTGGTCACATGGATGCTTCTTTTCCTTCGCTCCACCAGACGCCCGCCTAGAATGAGCTTTGAGGTGCTCCAGCAGGACTTGGGTACTCTCAAACGTCTGGAGGCATACCTTGCAGCTGAGATCGCCGCTGGCAGCGGCGTGCATGGCCAGATGTCGCCTGAAGCCGAGTTTCGTGTTGTAGTTCTTGCCACACTCAGGACAGTGGAGGGCCTCCTTGTTGGGATCGTGGGTCTGGAGGTGGTTGCGAAGGTGATCCTTCCGGTGAAACATCTTCTCGCAGTACATACACTGGTGAGGCTTCTGAGCAGAGTGCGTGGCCATATGCCTTTTGGGAGAAAAGCAGGAAAGTTTAGACTAGTGTCCAACCCCTAAGAGAACACATGCTACTTTTTCAAAATTTTCCTTGTGTTCTACACATTATGCTACAAAAATCCCAGGTGGCATTTTACCACCACTAAACAATGTGCACAGAAACACAACATTTCAAGCAACAGTTACAGAGTCTGTCTCAGCAGTGCCCGTCCTCCCTAGAATGCATCACCTCCGCACACATATACTTCAGTCATCTACTCAGCTCCTGTTCTCTCTGCTGAGGCTATCAAAGGGAGAAATGACAAAGAAAGCCGTGGTATTTATGACAAGAAATGCTTGTCTGCTGGTGAGATGGCTTCATCTCATCAGGAGGCATCAGACTCTGGCAAGTCTGTTGACAGCCACTGTGGACTGATTTCACCTCAGTATCTTACACTCCCTGACACTGGTTCACCGAGTTTCAAGTTCCTAGTGATCATATAGTTTAATTGTTCTATGCTGTATTTCAGTACATACATGGGAACCCTACTTCTTCATGCTAGAACAACAGCTGCCATAGAAATATTCCTGTGAGTAACGTCAGAGGTAGGGCTTATGAAATGTGAATGCTATTCTTGCTTTTCATTTTGTTTTTTAATCTGTGAACTTCACTTTCTGCTTCAATTTCCTCCTCAGTAAAATGAAAAACACCTTGAGCTCAGGATAAAGTATTATCTGAAGTTCTCTGGAAGGTGCTTAAAGAGATGCCAAGTATGGTAATGTCTGGGACTCAATTGCTTTACAAGGTAAAAAGGGCATTCCCCCTCCTCCACCTTCTCAGAAATTGAAGCAAAAAAACATGATGGACGGGTTTTCCCCTCTCTTCTGGTAGGGGAGCACTGTTCAGCAGAGGCGCTCAGCAGTTACCTACCTATATAGCTTGTACTTAGAAGCAAAGGCTTTGCCGCAGTGCAGCTGAGGGCAGTTGTACGGTCTCTGCTCAGTATGGGAAAGTGTGTGAGTTCTCAGCTTGTCCACATTAGTGAAGGAGGTCTCCGATATTTCACATTGGCATTTTCCCTGACTTTCCGTCTCTTCGCCTCTTGGTCTGGGGACTAATTTCCAGCCTGTCTCTTCCTCCTCCTGCTTTGCATCTTGAATCCAGTTAGGAACACTGGGAAAAAATGCCGTCATGGCAGGTCTAGTAGAACATGGCCATGTCAAGCAGAACTCGAGCCTGCAGGTGTCTTGCTGTGATGTTGTCCTGGTGCAGTTTTCTGTTGGAACCCTCTGTGACCAAACTGCTTTAATAGCAGAACATCTTCATCTGAAATCACAGAAGCGTTGGTGTTAAGACACTGCATCTTTCACCCATGCACACAAGCACATGTGAGCATTCAGGAAGCATTATGAACATGTGAAGATGCCTGTTCACAGACATGGAAAACTCCCACCTCCAGCACGTGTTTCATTCTTTTCTTCCTTAACCCCTGCTACCTGAATAAAACGATGTTAAACTTTTTCTGAATTACGTTTTTGCAACAATTAAGAGCCAGTGTTATGTGTTACATGCATTTTCTCCTGAAATATTGTACATAGGTGTCTCTTTGTAACTCTAAATACCTCACCTTTCCCCATGTATTTTGTGGATTGGTTCTCATGCCCCTTTTTCATGTTCTTCGTGGTATATTCTCCCTCGCTCTTGATCTTTGCTTACATGGAATTCCCTTCTAGAGCTTCTCAGAGAAACTAGGGTTCTCTTGTATTTTTTTCTTTCATCCACTCTGCTACCACCATTAGTAAAACCATCTCCTAGCAAACCAATCTGAACTACCACACGTGGGTCAACCAGGCTGGGGAAGAAAACTTGCTATTATCAGCAACACCACACCTTTTTCAGGAAGGCAACAGATACTGCATCTCTTCAGGGTGTGATTAGTCATTGTACTTTCACTTTTCTACTGTAGAACAGATTCTGCCTCTCTGGCTTAGCAAGATTTCTACGGTAATGAGCAATTTTTAATTATTTTTTTTTTCTTTTACACTCTCATTCATTGATAATGGAAGCTCAAACTGTTTCCTGTTCAACAAAGTATACCTCCTGTATTGTCTGCTGGCTTTCATGTTGAAGAAAATCTGTATTAAACTCTCTTAGCAGGTTGGTTAGTACTCTAACAACTCTTAGCATGAGTTGTTTGTCTTGTTGGTAAAGTACTGCATTTTTATATGGTTCTACCAACGTCTAAACTGGTTAGCTGAAATAAAAAACTCAGAAAAGATCTCTTTCACTGAATTTAGCTGCTTGAGAAACCCTTCTTAAAATAGCATCAAACCCTCAAGCTCTTTCTCACTCCATGATTGCTTCAGAGGGAGGAACTTCCTGCCTGCACATCAACATGAGTGCCAGTTGTGGGCAGGATGTGCAACTATGAGGGAACTAACCAACCCCCATTAAGAAAGTGCACCACTGAACGTTATGAATAGCTGAAACAACAATAACTGTAACTACACCATCACTCATAGCACCGTGAACGGTCCCCTCAGGATGGAAAACACTGGGAAATGGGACGACTCCAAGAAAGCTTGTCACTATGAGGTTTGACAATGTCCATTAAGAACAGAATTCAGTTTTGTGCAGGCTGAATCTATGCGGGCAGAGCGGAACAATAAAGGACTAGAACTGCTGAGGTGCCACTTTGGGACAACCCTGTGTGATGTGACGGCTGCTCCTACCCCTCAGGGTGCAGGAGTCCTGCAACTCAGAGCAGTTGTCTTTTTATGTGTCTAAGACTGTGAATAATTCACCTCTGTATGAGATGTGTGCCAGAAAAAGATAAGTGTTCCCTACCTCCTGCTTCAGAGCTGTGCACGCGTTCCAGGAGTCTCTGCCACTTTCACCGGATAGTTGCTTCTTTCCCTCTGAACAAGCTCAGCCATCTGTGCCAGTTTCAAAGCTACCTGAAAGATGACAAGAGTTTGAATTTTGCTGTCTTTAATAGTAAGGCACATAATCTTTTGCCTTCAGAGCAGAAACCCAAATAAAAATGAGTTAAGATATGGTAATGTCTGTAATTGATTATTGTAAAATTTCATCAACTTTCCTTTAAAATTGTAAGGGTCTAGCAAGAAAAAGGACTCTACCTTTTTGGGTCTCTTTCTAAGACTAAATGCATGTCCTAGGACACTCTGACAGCATAATTCATGCTTCACTGGAATTATGGTTTCAAATTTTTTAAAAACTCAATTAGTTTTCTTAGTAACATTTTCCCAAAGAATGTTTCCAATGTGCTTCTTTTTCATAAGTCTGTAGCCACCAGAGACAGTCACCACTGTGTGGAAACACTTCAAGTACACTTGTTCAGAGAACATCTTGTAGATCACAGTGTTTGTACCACTGTTTGGGAAAACTGGTTATCTTAGAAAGTTTTGTACTAGTCCTAGAAAAATATGCCTAGCTTATGCAGCTCCAAAAATCTCAGGTAAGTCAGTTATGGAAAACTCCCATCACCAGATGAATCTTCCTCTGCTTCAGTTCTACAGAGGCTAAGAGGTTGGCAGAGTGAACAGAGAGCTGGAAAGAAACACCATCCACCTGAGAGCTGGATTCCCACTGGCTGCCAACTTAGATGAAATATTTCATTACTACAGTCATCGGGTTTGTGCAAATTCAAGCTAGAAGAACTCATATAAGCTGATGGATCATACGCTATGTATGAGATTCCAGCCACTTGTCATTGCACAGAAAACAATGAGGTATGTCTGAGTTGGTACACAGTACAAAAAAGCTCTTGAGTGTCCCAGAAAGTATCTAGAATAGAGTCTGCCAGCTGCTTTGACAGTTTGTCCCACTGTTCAATCCTTCTCAAAGTATGGTTCAATGATACAGAATTTCTGCAGTTTCTGCCCCTCAAAGCCACTCCTGTGACATGGAGCACCAGTCCTCAGCTGTGTGGGAAAACCTTGTGACCTAGGCTGGGAACCAGACTGGGGAACTGCTCAGGTTAAAAATAATCAGGAAAAAAATCAAAAGGAGCCCGGACGGGTTCTCTGACTGGACCAACAGCAAACCTGTGCTCATCTGGCAGGTCTGCAGTGGGAGGCAGAGCAGGGGGCCTGGCAGGCTGCCTGACCGGCCCCTGGATTGTGGAGCTGTGGTTTCTCTTTTCTGAAGGTCATCTCTTGTGTCTGATTTGCATTTGGCTGGCGTTGGCCTCTACCTGCTGAGTCCCGCTGTGCCGTTGCTAAGGAGCTGCTCCAGTACTGTCACTTTTCCTCCTGCAGGGACTCCTGCATCCCCTCAGTCCTCACCACCTGCTTCTGCACTGCACTGGCCTGGGCTGCTTTACAACTCCACGGTGGTGTGGCTGAAGGAGCCTACCCCATTGAAAAGTAACTCCTTTTTACATTTTTCCTCCCACAGCCAGATCAGTCCCCCACTCAGGTTTGCTAAGCTATTTTAAGTTGTTAAAGCTTAAACTTGCTCAAGCGGAAGGTACCAGCTATGTGGCAGAAAGGAGAGGCTAGAACCCATGGTGGGCACTCGGCCTCAGCCCAGCGTCGTGCCCCAAACCCAGCTTCTGCAGTGACCCCAGCTGCTGTGTCAGAGCTGGCCCTGGCCCGGCTGAGACATGGCTTCATTTTTATATTGACTTTCCTACATGACAACCAGCGACCACAACACCTTAAACTGCTGCAGCAACATCCCTCAGAGCAGATCTTTCAAAGCCTCCACACAGCATAACAAAACCACCCCCGACTTTTCCTTACAGTGTTCTAATCAAGTCTTGGCTCTGACCCCTGACTGCAAGGTTCTGCTTCCAGACCTCGAATCCCTTTTGTGACTTTTCTACATCCTCTGCTGCTTTCCAATATTGTTTTTTTTTTTTTAATTATAAGCGGAAAAAAAAAGTGGATACCAGACCTAGATACAGTACTGCAGTACCAGCCTTGCCAATGCTACACCTGGGTGTAAAAATCACTCTCCTACCTCCTTACACATCGCATTAACTTTTTTTTACAGTTTTCCTACAGTTACAAACACCAACTCAACATGTCATTATGATTCCCTGACTTCCCCTATGAAAACCATTATTTTCTTGCAGTGGGTGACTTTGGCCGTTTCTAGATATGTACGTTTTTACGTACAAACATGCTCATTTTTCCAGCTGAGCGATGTCGAGCCGCTCAAGCCTCAACACCAGTTTCCCCCACTAGACCACTTACAGATTTTAGAAAAACTATGCCTAAAGTTTGCATTTACTTTTAAAACCCAGGGAAGAGCTGCTGCACCTTTCCCCTAGGATGTAACCAGACGCACCATCCCTGCAGGACGATTTTCCCATCTGACCGAACTCCTCCACTCTCGACTTCCCTGACATGACAACAGACGGAATTTTAAAAGCCAAAATCCCTTCCCTGCACCACCGGGAAAGCCCCAAACGCCAACATGGCTCCGCAATGATTTATTTATGCTACAAAAGACCGATTTTTTCACCCACTCAGCCCCGAAGTGGCTGCAAAGCCCCCAGAACAGACTGCGGCAGTGCTGGCTGCAACCAGCGGAGCTGCCGGGAGGGAAACGGGAGCCCGGGAAGGGTCCGTCGATGCGGCCGGGCCGGTGCCAGGGGGAGCA